TGACAACAGAGTTAAACTTTTCATCAATACTGTTCTTAAGAGTCCTCACAATCCTCTAGGTGTTGTCACTGATGTGTTTCGAAGGGTAGAATTCCAAAACCGAGGTTCACCGCATATTCATATGCTTGTATGGACAAGTGATGCTCCAAAGCACAAAGAAAATAGCAATGAGGAAATTGAAGCATATGTAGATAAGTATGTCACATGTGGTTTGCAAGAAAATGATTCTCAAATGAAACGCCTTGTAGAGCTTCAGGTACATAAACACTCAAAGACTTGTAAAAAAAGGGGGTAAATCTGTTTGCAGATTTGGATTTCCATTGCCACCTTTGCCCAAAACCATGCTTCTTGAACCCTTGGATGTTGATGTTGAGCATTACAGAAAGTTATATTCTGATATTCAAAAGAAAATGAATGTTTACAAAGATGGTTGTAGCTTAGACTACGAGTCATTCTTACAGACTGTAGTAGAAATGTGAGGATGAGTATATAAAATGTATACGAGCATCCCTAAAAGGTCCAAAAGTGTTTCTAAGGAGAAGTCCATCTGAAATGAGAGTGAATTACTACAATACATCAGTGTTAAAGGCTTGGAATGCTAACTTAGATATTCCGTTTGTACTTGATCCTTATGCCTGTGCCACATACATTGTTGCTTACATCAGCAAATCTCAAAGAGGAATAAGTGCAATGCTTGATAAGGCATCTAAAGAAGCTGCAGAGGGAAATATGGATCTCAAGCGTCAAGTTCGACATATTGGAAACAAGTTCTTGAACTTTGTTGAGGTCAGTGCACAAGAAGCAAGTTATTTGATCCTTCAGATGCCACTTACACAAGCTAGTAGAGAGGTTGTTTTTATCAATACCTCAACACCTGAAGACAGAGTTTTTTTTACTCAAACATCAAGATGAATTGAATGAGTTACCAAAAGACTCGACTGACATTAAGTCAGATGGTATGATACAGAGATATGCAAGAAGACCAAAGCAAATAGAAAATTGGTGCTTAGCTGATGTTGTTTCTGAGTTGGAAGTCACTTTTCCAAAAGAAATGGAAAAAGATGTGCAAGAGGAAGTGAATGACGATGACCCTGAAGAAGATTCACAAGAAAGCATCTTTTCTGATCAGGATGCTTTAGTTCATTTGAAAAATGGGATTAAGATCAGAAGACTTAAAAACAAACGGGTTATTAGATATGTAGGGTACAGCCAAAAAACAAATTCTGAACAGTATTACAGAGAAAGAATTCTTCTCTATCTGCCTTGGAGAAATGAGAATACTGATCTTTTAGGTAGTTGTCAAACTTATGAACAGCATTACCTGCAAAAAGCAAGTATAATACAAATGAAGCAAAGGCAGTATGAGCATTTTGTGGATGAATTGGAACAAGCTCGACTTCAAGCTGAAGAAGATTTTGATAATCTGGAGACCGTAGCACCAAATACAGAACATGCTGAGGCAGAAGATGCAGAGATAGGTTCTGAACCATCTGATGAATTTATTCATTTTGATCCTGATACAGTTCAACACATAGATTTTGATATAGGTCCAGACCTGGGTTTGTCCTCAAAAGTAACTGAAACAGAAATGAGTGTTGTCCGCATTCCTGATGAGCAATACTATAAACTTTAGCAATCCTTGAATACAAAGCATAGAGAATTTTACAATCATGTGACAAACTGGATTCTAAACAGAGATGATCCATTATATGCTTTTCTTACTGGTGGAGAGGTGCAGGAAAGTCAGTAGTTATTGATGCCATTTTCCAAACATTACACAGAATACTTTACTCAAAAGAAGGAGAAAGTCCAGATGATATTAGGATATTACTATGTGCTCACACTGGAAAAGCTGCATACAACATCAAAGGGACCACTATTGCATCAGCATTTCACAGGAAAATGTATCAAACACAGCAGCACATGGGTGCAGATGAATTGAACTCATACAGGACAAAGTACCAGAATTAGTCAGTTGTGATAATAGATGAAATTTCAATGGTTGGAAATAATATGCTGACATTTATAAATGATAGACTCCAACAACTTACTGGTAGAAAACAAGATTTTGGTGGCATTAGCATCATAGCTGTTGGTGATTGTATCAGTTACCACCTGTTGGAGACAAGTGGATTTTCAAAGACCTTTCTAATCCTGGTCAGAGTTTAGCAAAAAATTTGTGGCAGGAGCATTTTCATATGCATGAATTATCTGAAATTATGAGACAAAAGGATGACCTCAGATTTGCTGAAATGTTGAATAGACTTCGTGAAAACAAGATGAGAGATGAAGACATAGAACTTATTTCTCAACGCATCATTACACAAGACTGAAATCTACCCTAAACAGGCACCTCATCTGTTTATTGAGAACAAGTTTGTCGATTGTTTTAATAACAATTTAATAGAAAGCCTTTCAACAGTTAAAGTTAATGTAAGAGCAGACACAGACGTATTATCACAGACAAAACTTTCTGCATCAGTGAAATTGAAACTAGTTCAAAATTTGCCTGAAAACCCAGCATCTACTGGACAATTAAGAACAAATCTTGTTATTGCTGTGGATATGCTCTATGACATATCAGTGAATCTTGATGTTACAGATGGGTTGACAAATGGTGCTTCATGTGTTGTGAAATACATTGAATATAGACAATCACAATTAAGACCTGCCATAGTATGGGTTCTGTTTGCTGACTCAAGTATAGGTATTTCAAGAAGATACAACCATTTGTTCAGCACAAATGTGAACATTACATGGACTGCCATATTTGAAGCTAAAAGAACATTTGTTTATAACAGGAAGACCTATGAGAGAGTTCAATTTCCACTCCAACCATCTGCTGGAAAAACAATTCACAAAGCACAAGGAGCAACTCTTTCAAAGGCAGTGATCAGGTTAGCACAGACAAAGCAGCGAAAAATTCCTCATATACATTATGTTGCACTTTCAAGAGTAAGGTCACCTGATGGTCTATTCATTTTGGATTTCAACGAAAAAAGTCTTTCAAAAGATGAAAATATTGATAGAGAGATGGAAAGATTAAGAGATAATAGATTGCAGCTGTCATACATACCACTTTACTCAGTATGTAAAGATGTCAAATTTCTGTTCAACAATGCTAGGTCTCTTCACAAACACTTATTTGATATGAAGTCAGAACCAAGTGTTGTAGCTGCAGATGTTATTGGTATAGCTGAATCTTGGCTTTGTGAATCAGATTCTGATAAAGACTTCACTTTGGAGGGTTTTACAATGTTCAGAAATGATGCAAATATTTCCCGGACCAGATCATATCATGGCATCGTCATATATTTGAGGAATCAATTACAGTGTTTGACATACAACTCCTTCACTTCCGAATCTGTTGAATTTTCCATAATTTCTATTATGCCATCCAATACTCCAATACAGTGTGTAGTTTTGTATAAGCAGCCTTCTTGTACTCTTCAACATTTTTACGATACCTTGAAAAACAGGTTGCTCCCATTTGTTAACACAGATGAAAAAATTGTGATGATGGGAGATTGTAATTTGGATTTGAATACTGGTCAGTATGGACATTTCCTAAACTTTATGAAAGAAAACTTTGGCTGTGAGCAAATGATACACAAGGTAACAACAAAAAACAAGAAACAGTTAGACCTAATATTTACCAACTTTACTGATATACAAACAGATGTGCTTCAGGCTTCTTGGTCTGACCATAATATGATTTATTGTGCTGCAAATAATCCTTAAGCTTGCTAATGATAAAGGTGCAATTGCATTTTCCAGTATTAAAAACCCTCTAGAGCACAACCTAGGCAGTATGTAAATATTTAGTTTCCATTGGAAGCTAAATATTTACAAACTGCCAAGAGTGGTTTTACAAAATCAAGGGTTGCCACTCATCATCTACCCTATATGTCCCAATAACTCCCCTGTATCTTTAAAAAATACATATATATTCATGTATATATATATATATGTAGTAAATAATTTTAAATTTTCAATTCATGTATTTCATAATTGGGAAGATATTGGGACAAAGTTATGTTTAAAAATTGAATGCCTATGAGATGGAATTATTTAGTTTATGTAATGTTTGCAAACTTTCAAAAAACAGCTGAAAACAGTTTGGTTACCTATATTTTATATAGTGCATACATTCAAATTTCATCACAGCATTGTTTTCTTATAACAGAATATGTGGATTTTTGTGTTTTGTAACGCAATATGTAAATTTGTATACTTTTGTATTTATTGAACTAAACATCTATGTCATTTATAAATTGAATGTAATTAATATTAATTATATATGTTCTTTTTTAACTGAAATATGAAAGTGCTATAATGAATTATTGTACTGGTGTATATCTGAAAGATTTGATTGGATCAAATATTAAGATATTTTTTAGTGTAAACTTGATTTGACCATACTCACAGGTTAGCCTATACTGATAAACTATACATTTCAATTTATGCAGTCTAGATCAAAGGGCATATTACCTGCATAAAAATACCACAAAATCAGAACTCTTTAGTGTGCAATGTATAATAGGGCTCTTAATGTTTTTGTGTTTGTAAAGTACTTTGTACACTGTATCTGTTTTGGTAATGCATGTACATGTATAATAATTATAAAATTCATATTTCATCTCATGGGCATTTAAGGGAAAAGAGTACCAATTAATTTCCCATAGAACTCTATACAAACCTTAGGCCCTCCAAGTAATTTACTAATTCCCGTTCAAACAAATCTATGTTATCATTTGAAAGTTCGTTCTAAGCACTTATTAAAAACACGGAAAAAAATATACCGTTCCGCGGCGTTTATAGGTCAAATTTGCAGTTATTTAGAACTTACAGAGATCGGCAGTAAATGACACCCTGCCAAAAATATCAATCCCCACTCCTACAATCTCCCCTGGTATTTCTATATTTGTTGTAATATTCCCACATTCCATTATTTATTTCAAACATTAATATTTTTACTTTAAAATGAAAATATTTACATACCTGAATTCAGCCAATCAGGTAAAGCCTACCCATTTATTACTCTGCTTCATCTTGTTCAACCAGGAAATGATGTCAAAATCTGGGTCTTTGGTGCTCTTTTTCCTATACTTACATATTTACCTATCCCAGAATTAGTCAATTTTGTAATTTTCAAAGACCTTATACTTACCAATATACAAGTATGAAATTTGAGGCCTGTCACTTCAGTGTCTTGGAATCTGTGACCATCTTAATGAATGACCCCTCCCTGCTGCAGGTACTGTTCCAAAGAGTGAAAAACTTTCATTCCTGTGATGAAATCTGGATACAGTTGTCACTGTAATGAATAAAATATTTATAAAATAACATGATCTTGTTTTTTAATGTTAATAAAATGATATAAAGTCATAAGTGTGTCAAATTTTTCATAGGGGTGGATTCTACCCAGAATAAAGAAAAAAGGTCCAAAATTTGATAAATCATAGATAATTAAGCAAAATTAAAGGGTTTTAAAAAGACTGATATAGAAATTTTTTATGCTTATGCAAAGTAAATTGTTTGAGACTCTGATATACTAAATGATTCTTATCTAACCCCTCCTGTTGCTTAAGTATATACAAAAAAGTTTCCCCACCCCCCAGTGAAAGACACTTAGAGAAATAGCAGGTGCCCCCTATTATATTTGTTTACAATTAATTCAGACAAGAGAATATTAATACTTTTGATAACAAATCAAAGTGCAGTATCTGATAGTCCTATACAGTTCAACCATAATCTACATTATTGAAATTCATGCTTTAAAAAAGGGAATTCAGATGAATTTGTAAAAAATCAAGAAATGCAATAATTGACTTAAAACCCCAAAATGCACACCATATTAAGTGGCTGCAAAGTTAATAAATGAAAAATTTACCTGCAATGTACAGAAATCTGTCCGACAAAATATATCAGGTGGGTAGCGAGTCTCCTTCTTCTTCTTATATAGAGAAAATGCCCCCCCCCCCCTGCCGATCAGATACCAAGCTCTCCCGGGTCCGAGGAAGCTGAAAGATGAAAGTCCTCTATAGTGTTTAAATGAAAATGAATCAATAAATCTAGTCAAATTATGCATAAATCATAAAGAAAACAGCAATATTTATCAAGTTTTCTGAAAAATTACCAAATTACATATCTTCTACATGGCTGAATGCTTAAAAAATGGATCCGTCAAGGGTGGAATACATGTTTTACAATTTTACATGTAGTTACATGTAAATATTAGAAAAGTCAAATGTGACACATGCAGTAATGCCATTCCAATAATTCAAGAAAAAAAAATCAGAAGCCTAAGGTCACAATAATTAAGATTATATCATGTTGAAACTCTACATATTAGGTTAGCTAGTCTAAGGGAAGTAGCTCTAAGTACAAAAACTGGAAAGCAGTAGAAAATGAGTTGCAGAGAGTCCCCCTGATGAAACTACAAAGAGCAAAAAAAGGGAAAACACAGACCTTTGTGTAGCTACAATATAGAAACAACCAAACTACAAACTGATCCCCCCCGCAGTCCAAGGGAGGCAATCCAGAAGATCACATACACTACCGATATGATACGTCAAGACAGAAAATGCCCTCCTTTCACATGAACACCACGAAAGGCACTTTTAAGGGCCGAATAAATTATTCGAAAAGATACCAAACGTGCAAACGTATAAGAAACTAAATAAAATTTAACACCAGGCCACCATCCTACACTTCCAAATGTACACATATATAGCAAATCTCATAAATACACAATTACATGTACATGTAAAATGCATACATAAATTTATGAATACATACAAACATCTATTATAAGATCAATCTGATACATTTTCTTAACTTACCTTTCTCCTCTGGCCATGTCAACTACACATTGTTTACCAATTTCCATCCTCTGTAACCCCCCCCCCCCCCCAATCTCTACAAAAGACCCAAAATCACCTCTAACCCCAATTCCACAGAAAAATAATTCAAATGTTGGCTATTTTTTCTCTCGAAATGTCTTCAATATTCAAATATTTAGCTAAAAATAACTTTTCATGACTTTCACTTCACTTTACATATTAAAAAACAGGGTCTCTAAAGGGAAAAGAGTACATGTACCAATTAATTTCCCATAGAACTCTATACAAACCTTAGGCCCTCCAAGTAATTTACTAATTCCCGTTCAAACAAATCTATGTTATCATTTGAAAGTTCGTTCTGAGCACTTATTAAATACACGGAAAAAATATACCGTTCCGCGGCGTTTATAGGTCAAATTTGCAGTTATTTAGAACTTACAGAGATCGGCAGTAAATGACACCCTGCCAAAAATATCAATCCCCACTCCTACAATCTCCCCTGGTATTTCTATATTTTTTGTAATATTCCCACATTCCATTATTTATTTCAAACATTAATATTTTTACTTTAAAATGAAAATATTTACATACCTGAATTCAGCCAATCAGGTAAAGCCTACCCATTTATTACTCTGCTTCATCTTGGTTCAACCAGGAAATGATGTCAAAATCTGGGTCTTTGGTGCTCTTTTTCCTATAACGAGGCTGGGGGGTTGCAGCCATTTTCAGACTATTTCGATCTCCTTTAAAAGAAGAGCTCCGTATAAAGATATACAGAAATGATCAAAATTGAAAACTGAAATGTATGAATTTTTCCTTTCCAAATGAATGTTGTCAGCTTAAGATACCGTATTTAAAAAATAAGTTAAATCTGTTGGTTAATTTGTGGTTAAATTTTTGACCCCCCAGCCTCCTTAAATTAACATTGATTATTCATAGTAGATTTACTTTAATGGTGATTGATACACATGTATTGAATTTAAGTACGTATTAGAATTTAAGTATTTATTTGAATGAAAGAATTTCTGTGTTATACACAGAATTACTACAGTTATTATACAACCCATTGTCAAAAGGGTATATCTGCAAAGACAATTCTAAACAGGAACAGTTGCCCCGGTGAAGTCAAAAGACTTAAGCTACTAGCACCATGTGTTAATGTTGTACATGTACTGTTACCGGTATATCAACATTTCATTTATAGAAAAGACTATCTCCTGTGTTGCATGTGAATTTATAAACCAACATTCCGTTTCTGAAAAGATAAACTACCGTGTTAAATATGAAACTGTTAAACCAATTACATTCCATATCTGAAAAGACTGGCTTCTGTGTTACATGTGAAACTGTTATCTACAGTTCTGAAAAGACTGCCATATATTACCTGTGAAACTTTTATCTTAACACTCCGTTTCTGAAAAGACTGGCTTCCTCAATTTGCTACATCAAATGTGAAACTGTTATAATCTGTTGTACATAATTATATTAATTAAGACTATTCGTGTAAAACACTTTGTACAGACTTGTTGCTAAAGCATATTCCTGTGGAAGTTTCCCTATTAAGCCATCCTTATTTTTGCATTATCCCCAAATCTATATTTTTAATAACAGCATATATATGTATATTGAAATTTCATGCAAAAAAACATAAAGAAATAGATATCCCCCTCGTAAATTTAGAATTCTTACCCTCATATTTACCGCAACAAAATTAATTGGAATCTATAGACTGACAACACATTCAAGAAACTGCTACATGTAGTATATACATAATAAAACCCGATTTCTCTGGATTTATCATATCTTTGGATCTTAAGATTTATTTTTCTGTAAAAGTGTTGATAAGCATATTCAGGTCTTTGTAAACAACTTTTAATCTTTCTTTTCGCTTTCGTTATGTAAGATTAAAGTAGTTGTTCTCTGCAAAGACTGAATAAAGCTAAATTTCCTTGAAATGTATTCCTTAGCTATCAATTTTCATTATGCAGATATTTTTATTAAATTGTAATCATGGGTAATCTGAATTTAAAAGTTGATTAAATTAATAAATGTATAAATTCACTGGTCTAGGTAATCTTTGCATATTTATTGATTTTTTTTTTTGGGGGGGGGGGGGGCTGCATTGTTTCAAAATGCTTTGGAGCAGAATGATAAAAATTGTGTATTATTAAATTTCTTTCTATTGTTCTTGCCATATTGCATTTATATGTTCATTACATTATTGATTGTTATAAAAAGTTAAGGATATTATATTTTATGGTTCAATACACTATATGTATTTGTGCAAATTTTAAAATGTCTGTATATACATTTATGCTTGGTGGACAAATTCAGGTACATGAAAGAAAAACATGTTCATGCTACCATAATTTTACATTATCTATTTTTATGTTCTAACTCTCTGAAATCACCAAAGACATGAAGCATTCACTTTTTATAGGTAAGTAGTATAGAAAGAGGGGGTCAATGGCCAGCCCGTAAAGGGAGGTAAACCTTGCTTCTTTCAGATGATATAGAAATAAAGTGAAGATTGCTTCATACATAGTATGCTTGGTGGTAAAATTTCAGAAAGTAGACCAATAAGGTATTTTCATATTGTTTGAAAATTGAACAAAGTAATTAAATTATAAATGAATTGTTCACCAAGCTTTCTATTAAAATGCAACAAATACAACTTCATTATGTAAGTCATTATTGTGCACAATTTACAAGTAATTATTGAAACATTGATTGTACTAGTTACATGTTTATATAAACATGCAATCTAGTGTGTAAATCAAGCAGTGATTTATATCTACGTTGATGTTCTCTTTTGCAAGGGAATGGTATGCTTTGCAGTGTCTCTTTTTAGGTCACCTGAGTAAACTCAGGTGACCTATTGCTATCCGTTTTCGTCCGTCGTCGTCCGTCGTCCGTCGTGTGTCGTTTGTTAACATTTGAACATTTTCAGCTTCTTCTCTGCAACCACTGAACCAATTTCAACCAAATTTGGCACAAAGCATCTATGGGTAAAGGGGAACAAAAATTGTGAATTTCATGATCCCTGCCCCCCTGGGGCCTGAGGGGTGGGGCCAAAACCACTAAAATTAATGCAATCTTTAAAAATCTTCTTCTTTACTCCTGGACATCAAGCAGTCAAACTATTTGCAAGATTGTAATCAGCATTGAGTTCTCTACCAAAATTG